GATGCATGTGTATGTATGTGTGCGTGCATAAAAGAAGTGCAGAATGATAAGAATGGGTTGGAGGGTTCAGGGTATCTCCTAGTCGAGCAGTCTCGGCTAGAGTCTTCTTACTTGTTTTTTATTAAACTTGGTTTTTCTATTTATTAAATTATTATCATTATTTATTTTATTATAACCCTTAGTTGTAAATGGTATCTGGTGCTATTTTATTTGGTCGTAGTAAACTAAATTAATTTTCAGAAATCAGAAAAGTATTAGAAATAATAATGAAAATTAATCCACAGAGCCGTGCTGTCGTTCAACAGCAACATTAGTAACAATACAATTTGTAAATGAAAAACACTATGATTAAATATATTTTTAAAAATTTGATAATCCTATACATTTATTAAATACAAATGAAATCAAATGACAGACCCCAACACCTTTATGCTGCTAGATGGTTGTGATTCTGCAACCTATTTTGAGGCTAACAGGGTGTGCAGTCTGCGCTCTTAATAAACTTGCCATAATGGAGTGCTTAGCTAGTCCTTTGACCCAATTGTATGGGTTTTAAGTGCGGTCGCATCATGCTGTAAAATGTGACTGTTTTAATGCTCTGCGTCAGTGAATCGTATTAGAAAGTAGACGAAGACATCGGTGCTTTAATCTGAGCCGCTGCATCTGGACAAACACTTTCTGACAAATTGCTAGTAAATAAACCTCAAATGCGAGAGATTTGCAATAATGCCTTTCTAATTTCATGCGTCGCCGTTTTTGCCGCCATAGAAGGCACCTTCTGGCGGGCATGCAAAGCGCAGGAGAGCGAAAAAACGAGAAGAAATAATCGCGAAAAGCACTGCGATTGGTGCCTGCTGGCATGGCATGGCGCCTCTGCAGGCAGCACTGTTTTCAGAATTTTCCACACGTAAGGCGAAAGTTTGAATCATTTGTCCACTGTGCACAGTGCGGCAACGGGCCGTTTTCATTTAAAATTCTTGTCACAGACATGTAATTGCAACGCGCCATCGACTGCGGCCTACCGACTCCCGACTGCCGACTCCCAACTCCCAACTCCCAACTCCCGAGTGCTGCCAAACGGATCTATATTGCAGTTGGCCTGGCCTATTGACAATGCGTTTGTCAGTAGCAGAAACAAACGGCGGCAGCAGCAGCAGCACTGGGCGGCTTGTTGCCTCTGGCGCTGTGTTGACACAGATAAGTGCGTGGCGGTGGCGTCGGCAGCGATAAGTAGCGTTTATGCATTAATTTTTGCCTCAAAGTGGCATTATTTATTACGCATTAATGCGCTGAATTAACGTTTATTTAATTAATATTAATGCTGGCGCAGCAGTTGTTGCCTGCTTGCTGTGGCAGCAGTTGCTGCAACACAGTTGTCAGTTAACAGCAATTGTTGCTGCTGCTGCTGGTGCTACTGCTGCTGCTGCTTAGGCTGACATTTAGTCTATGCATTTTGGGCAGCCAGGCAATTAAAGGTACCGCTAACAGACATTGCCTGTCCAGCCAGCCATTCAGTCAGTCATTCAGTCAGCCAGTCAGTCAGCAATTGTCAGTTGTTGCTAGACAACATGTTGCTGACATACCTCACAGCCATGTTGCTGCGCTGGGCCTGCAAATTCGGTGCAGCGAGTGCATTGGGCGACGGTGGTGTCGTCCACATTCTCTGTATGTCGGCTCCTACAACTGGCCTCAAGTTCCCCGCTAAACTTTTGACATTCGACGGCGTTCTGAAGCCCCAGCAACAGCAACGGAGTAGCTGTCGCTGTCGCTGCTACTGCCGCTGCGCAGAGGTCAAGGCCTTGGGGGCAGCCGAATGAAGAGTCGACTTGTGTTTATCCTATAGTCAACAAACGAATGCCGCTGACCGTCAAATTGCGCAAATATTTGTACAGAAATCGAGGGTAAAGTCGTCTGCCAAATAAATATGTAACCAATAACTCACCGATTTTTGAAGGAATTTTCGATAAAGAAATATTTGTATTAAGTCGGGCGATAGATAACGGGCTGCTTCGCTGTTTGTAATCCATCAGTGTCGGGGGCGGCCTGCGGTCGGTGGTCGGCGGTCGTGGTCAATACTCGGGCGCAATAAACTTTATAATTTATAGACCAATCAGACGCAGATCGCACGCACTAAAACAAGTGAAAAATCATAGTCCAAACACATAATGCATCAGTGGAGATCAGAGAGCCAGGCAATTTATAGGATGGCCATGCCAATAGACACCGCACAGCGGGTTGTCAAATCGAAGAGCGACTGTGACGGTAACCGAGACTCCAACATGCTACAGGAACTGGCTGGATAACTGCTTGGAATGGTATGGTATGGGGTGAGGTGGGATGGGATGGGATGGGGTGGGATGCCCGCGCGCCGACTATCCTAGCCAATTGATTTATACAAACGGCAAAGCAACGGAACACAAATTGGTTTGCTGGAGCCGAGGCCGGGGCTGCGTTGGATTCGGGTTGGGTTGTGGGTCCTCGAAATGATTTGTTGCACTTCGTTGCAATCGTCGCATACGCAGAACTTTTGCACACAACAGTTGCGCTGTTTAACCTTTTGAACCGGCCACATGGGTGGAGTTGCACGTGTGGCAGCCAGACTTCAATGGAAATCATTAGCTGAAGATCAGCAACAGCTGCTGCCTGTCCGACTGGATAAGCCGCTGTCTTCGCCTTTACTTTGCATGCGTTCAGCGTAGCTAATTAGAGCCATAAATGCAGCACACACACACAACAAACACGCGCGCAACTCAATCCCCCAATGTGAGCCATGTTGAAGTTGTTTAAAGCCCCGCGGATTGAACGGAAAGTGATAGGCAGGCGTTGGCAAAAAATTGTTTGGCTTGCCAACAAAAACAATAACAACGACAACAACAACGACGACGACAACGTCAACAGCAACAACAGCAACAACAACAACAACAACAACAATAATAAGCAAGAGCAAGAGCTAGAGCAACCAACAACTACAAACAGATGTCGCCTGTCGCCCGATTGACCATTTAGGTTATGCTGGAATCCAACACCAGTTTATCAAGCGACGACCCAAACAATAAATTACGCAATTCAAACGCTCAACTGCAGTCCATCAATGGCATAATGAGGCAAGCGGCGGGCCGCCCCAGCAGCAGCCACAGACGCAGCGGTCCCAGCGCAGATGCATTACCATATCGGCATAAATTCCGGAGCATCGTTAAGTGGGCCTGAAGACGACTGCCAGATAAACAGGCTGAGCTGCTGCCACTGCTGCTGAGTAGCTGTAGTTGCAAGCAGGTCGCTTGCCGCATGCCGCATGCTGCATGCCACATGCCACAAGCCACCGTCCGTATGGCTACCCAGTGTGCCACCTAATGACCGAATCAGCGCCGATGCCAATGCCGACATCGCCCTCGTTAAAGGCAGCCCATATAATCATAGGGCCATTCGATTGTATGAGCTGCGTCGCACTTGACCTATCAACTCCCAAGTCTCTTTCAATATCAAACGAGCTGCACGTACACATACAGATATTTGTGTTTTCATGCACCGAATCCATTGAGATTGCGAAATCATGGCATAAGGGGAATATGAATAGTATGTAGCATCAAGCCGATCCGACTTAGCATTGTCTGTATGTATTAAGGCAACGATCTCAGAAAATACAAAAGCTACAGAGAGCTAGAGAAAGTTTGAAATCTCCAGTTGAGACTACTTGGCTACTATATCCCTTCGGGGAACTGATATTTCAACAATTCTTCGACTTTTTTCTGGTCACTCAAGTAAGGGCAGAGGCACATACACGCACACGCTGGGCAGCAGTGATGGCTAGCCATGATAAATTGATTGTTTAATAACTTCACCTATTGATGCACAATTTTATAGAACTTTCAGATCGTGATGTCATGTAAATGTATTTGCGAAAGCGCTTGAAAGCGGTTGGGCTGCGTCTGAGGGAAATTATCTATCTTCATTAAACTTTCAGAACGTGATCATACTGCTCAAGTGTATGTGTGTGTTCCAAAGGGGAGCGTGGTATTCAAAATCTGTAATTTTCCAAATCTGTGCATTTATAAAATACATAAACACAGTTCATCTGAAATCTTCAGATCTATCTAATAGCATTCAAATTATGTCTAAATAACGAAATCAATTTATTGATTATTCCCGAGTACACATGCGAAATTTCAATTCTCATATATATATGAGGAATATAGGTATATATTTTATTGGGTCTAAAATGCTTCTTCCTGCCTGTTACATACTTTTCACAATGCCATTATATCCTGATTTCCCAATACAATTTTGATTTGTAATTAAGTTTCATTAGTTATTTCATATTTACTTTTTGTATTTATATATTGCTTAAATTACAAATAATGAAGAGAGAAAATGTAAGTTTGATATTATTTCTTATTAAAATAAGATTAACAAATTATCCAAAGTCACAGGTAAAATTTTTGAAGAAATAGAGATTTTCCAGCGGCAGTTACATCATCAACAATTGGAACATCCAGAGTAGCTGCGTCTAATTGTGCATTAATTTCATCGGGAGTTTTGATCTCGGTGCTACTACCAGCAGTAACCTCATGAGCACGATCACTATACTCGCGGATCATTTCTATGACAGCCGAATATGTTCCGTATCCAAGAATAACCAAGCCAAGTAAAAGCATTAATAAGTCTCTAACCAGCTTCCATCTGCCAGGGCCATATGAGAAGCGATACAAGAGGCAGAGATCAATGCAGCTAGGAAAAATGATATTCAGTAGCGATATGGAAAATGCTCCAACCAATGCTAAGAGTGGACCCAAATTGGGGAACGCGATTGCATTGGCTGTGCACACAATCACGAAGCAAATACGAAATATGTATTCAATCTTATGCGGGTTCTTGGGGCTGTGGTTTTTTGCAATATATTGGTTGCACACGATATCGACAACGACGTATCCACTCAAGGGAAACGAGAAGAACACGGATATCGCAATGAATATTTTGGCAACCTGCGCTAGCCTATTAGCATAAATGTGTATAGATACGTACATATATTAAAGCACAATTACAGCGTTTCCAAGAGTACTTACGCTTCATCAATGGGCATATTTAAAGTAACACTGGCAGCCACAAAATTACCATATCTCCAATAGCCCATGAATCCAATTAAGATATACGTGACAGCCACAAACAAAGCACAACGGTTCAGAACACCAAACCAGCCCACATAGGCACCTGGCTTGGCCATTTGGGATTCAATGGCAAGCATCTGCGAAAAATTAGTGTTTTGAGGCAAAATCCAAATATGTTATATATTCATCTAACACTGACTTACCACACCAATGGAAGAAGTGCCAAACATTATAATGCCAACAAACAAAGACAGTTGTGTATTGAATCGTCTAATCTCCGCAATAGGTGGTAACTCGGTAAACAAATAGTAAAAGATACATGCGAGACCAGTGTACATCAAAAGATTAGCTAATATATTTGTGGGCACCAAATACTTGAGATGCCGCAATGAAAATAGAGGTAATGATAGTGTTCCTACTATGAAACAGTAAAGCCTGGTATTTATACGTTCGTGGCAATTATAATCAACCACTTGCTTCACATTTATGCTGACAAACACGATATAAACCACGCACACACCGTAGTGGAAAAATATCAGAATACCATTCACAAAATGTCCAGCACATTTTGACAAACATTGGCTGCACTTTGGCCCCACAGAAATTGCATATGTCATTGTCTCAGGAAAGTTCATATAAGCGACCTTATTTTGTCGACTAGATTCTACCATGCAAGTTATCTAAGGATGGGCGATATTTAACACGATCCGTTTACAAAGATTCCTCTCACCAGTAGTTGCAAGCCAAAAATTAATACGGCTGTCATAAATATCGTCATGAGGATACCTCCTATGTAGCCAACACGGTAGAAGGCGAGGGGCAGGGCCAAACAACCGGATCCGACCACACACTTTACCAGCGACAATAGAGCATCGCAATTGCTGTGAAGAGCTCAATAACATACGGTGGGTTTGTCTATGCGGATCTGACTTACGATAACGGTTTCTCCACATCACGGGCGTCATATGGATCAAACTTTTCACCGGGTTTGTTGACACTTCATAGGGACAGATTATTATTAATTAAAAGAAATAATTGGTTCAATCAACCTGATTAATCACATACTCTGCCATTTATAGCTTTTGCCAGGCCTATGGTTTCGCTGATCCAAGGAGTATACTGCTAAATTTAAAACTATTATTCATTAATATAAAAATGTAAAAAAAAAAATAAATAAATAAAAATTTAAGACATTAGAAAAATAATAACGGAAGAATTTAAAACTGTTAAAAGTTAGAAACGTCATAAAAACGAATGTCAAACATGATAAGTATCTGCCGCACTACTAAGATTAAATTATTATAAAATAAATAATCCTTGAATGTCTGCAGGTAAGCCCAAAAAAACACTTCTTTCAGCGCAATGATTCCAATGCATACTGATCCATCCCATTAACGATAAATAGCTTAAATAATAACTCAATTTACTACAATATGATAATGTATATAGTACAAATTTAAATTTTATGCCTTCATTATTTTCCTTGAGGGATGTTACTGAGCCTATAGTGCCAGCATCCTAAAATGATAACAAGCATCCTGGATAAATAAAGACGGAGCTGACAATCCAAACTCCATTCACAAAAGCCAATTGCATGGTCTCGCTATAGCTGAGCACTTCATCCATAACAAACGCCTCCGAGCCATTATGGATAGTTGATCTTCTAGATGATATAATTCATTAGTAATAAATGTTGCTTACATCAGATAGATGATGCTTTAGATCGGGAATTGTGGATTGTTGGAGGACACTTAGCTGAAGCATAAAAAAAAATAAATTGAGTTGGATAATTGTGAACTAAAAACAAATATCACAAATCATGGAGGGCTCATCTACACCTACCCTAACTTTGCGTTCAGGAAGGTCGCGGAGGATCGCGGTATATCCAGAATTTTTTCTGCCTCCTCGTCGTCTTTTGAAATCAAAGGACGACGGTAACAATTAATATAAATAATGTAAATAATATATGTTTTGATCTCTTTGAAGAGACTATAGAGTTGTATGGGGGTTTCTGTACATTGTCAGTGAAAACAATTTACAATCAAAATTTAAACTGTTGAACCATTAACGCTCTAGGGGCGACAGCCATATCATCAATAACTGGATCATTTATGGTAGCAGCATTTAATTCATCTTCTAAGTCTTCGGCTCCTTTGATTCTGTAATCAGCACCAGCACTATCAGCACTACTATCACGATCACCATACTCGCGGATCATATCCATGATAGCCGAATAAGTTCCGTATCCAAGGATGGCCAGGCCTACTAAAATTATTAATATATCTTTAATCAGTTTCCATCTCCCAGGGCCATACGATGAGCCATACAAGAGGCAGATCTCAATCCAACACGGAAAAATGATATTCAGTAGCGATATGGAAAATGCTCCAACCAAAGCTAAGAGTGGACCTAAATTGGGGAACGCGATTGCATTAGCTGTGCACAAAATCACAAAGCAAAAGCGAAATATGTATTCAATTATATTCGGATTTGTGGGATTGTGATTCTTTGCGATGTATTGATTGCAGACAATATCGACCACAACGTATCCACTCAAGGGAAACGTGAAGAACACGGATATCGCAATGAACAGTTTGATAACCTGCGCCAGCCTGCTGACATAAGTGTTTGTGAATACGTGCAGATATAAGATCCTTTGTGAAGAATACGTACACTTCAGCAATGGGCATATTTAAAGTCACACTAGCCTCCACAAGACTACCATAGCGCCAATACCCCATGAAACCAAATATTATATATGTCAAAGCCACAAACACTGCTCCGCGATTCAAAACACCGAACCAGCCCAGATAATCGCGTGGTTTGGCCATCTTCGATTCAATAGCAAGCATCTGCGAGAAAGGTCAAGTAGTTTAAATGTATTAGATCTGAATTTCACATTGACTTACCACGCCCACGGACGATGTGGCAAACAGCAGAATGCCAAAAAACAATGGAAGCTGATAATTAAAAAGCTTGACATCTTCAATAGGAGGTAAATGTGTAAAAAAATAGTAAAAGATACATGCGAAACCAGTGTACATTAAAATGTTGGCAATTATATTTATGGGCACCAAATACTTCAGATGACGCAGTAGAAATAGTGGTATTGATAATATTCCTACTATGAAACAATAAAGCCGGACATCCAATTCCGTGCAATTATGATCTATAACTTGCTTCACATTTACGCTCACAAACACGATATAAACCACGCACACACCGTAGTGGGAGAATATCAGAATACCATTCACTAAATGCCCAGCGCACTTCGAGGCCCAATGGCAGCACTTCGGTCCTACAGAAATTGCATATGTCATTGTTTCTGGAAAGGTCATATAGCCGACCATATTCCGTCGACTAGATTCTACCATGCAAGTTATCTAAGGATGGGCGATATTTAGCACGATCCCTTCACAAATCTGACGCTTACAAGTAGCTGCAATCCATAAATTAAAAGTGCTGTGACAACGATTGTCAGAATGATGCCGCCCACATAGCCAGCATAAAAGAAGGCGAGGGGCAGGGCCAAACAACCGGTTCCGACCACACACTTCAGCAGCGACAATAAGGCATCGCAATTGCTGTGGAAGAGCTCAGTAACCTGCAGCGGATTGATATATGTGGATCAGACTTACGATAAGGGTTTTTCCACTTCACGGGCCGCATATGGATCAAACATCTGTTCACTGGATCTGTTGATAGTTAATGAAAACTATTATAGATCCTTAGAATAATTTCACAGGTAATTACGTACTTTTCCGCCATCTTGATCTGGTTGATCTGGTGCGTCGTTTATACTTCAGAATTTTTCACTATATAAATTTTAATTATACTCAACGATGGTACCTTATTAAAGAAAAGGTTCGAAAAAGAAATTAGAAATAAGTAATTCTGATATGTATCTGTCGACATACTAAGGTTCTAATATGTTGAAAATAAATAATACTCGAACTAAATTTATACATTGATTTGGTTGTAGTACAATGATCCTTGATCTAGCCTGTCAATTATTGATTTTACTACTAAATAGTAAAAAATTAATTAAAATCATTACTTATTTTAATGAAAAGCATATATCAACAGAATTTTTCGTTTTAATGCGGTTGAAAAAAACTAAAGAAATATAAAATACGATTGTCATATTTTTGCTTGATTGCTGCTACTGAGGCCATAGTGCCAGCAATACCTCCGAAAAAACCTAAAACGATGAAAAGCAAAGAGCGCCAGAAGAAAATTTTCAGGGGTCCATATCCATCACTATAGCAGACGCATATATTAATAATGCCTGGATAAATCAGGCCCAGCTGGGACAGACAGAAGGAGCCGACAAGCGAGAGGAGTAGGCCGAAGTCTGGATAGGCAATGGCACACAGAACAGACGCCACCACCATGGCCATGCGCATCAGATACTCTACCCATAGTGTGGCGCTATCCATCGGCCTGGGTGTCATGTAGCTGTGCCAGATAATCTCAATGATCACGTAGCCCTGCAGGGCATAGCTACAAAATATGGCCACAACAAATAGGGCAGTGGCGCACTTGGACAGGCTGTTGAAGGCTTAATTAACAATAAGGGATAGTGGGAATGAATTGCGAGCGTTTTTTATACGTTTCATCGGGTAGATTTTTGAGAATGTATGTCGCAGTATCATCTCCGTACTTCCAATAGCCCAAGAAACCAAAGGCTGTGTAGAACGCAATCACGATAAACATGGCCCGATTCAGTATGCCACACGTGCCCATAAAGTTTTCTGGCTGACGCATGTTTGTTTGCAGTTGAAGTGCCTAAGAAGAATTGGGAAGAAGGCTCGAAAATAAGGCAGACAGGCGCTAGAATATATCCGAATATAACTGACCACGCCTAGTGATTGAACCGAAAACATAATGGTACCAAAGAATACAGGCAATTGGGATAAATCTCGCACGGATCGTCGGTCCTCCAAATCGGGCAAGTCCACTAATAAATAGGTAACAATAATTCCAATACCTGCAAGGTAGTCCACAATTAACTCATTCTTTTAGGCCTGATACCTGAAACCTACCAACAATCACAAAGAGGTTTGAGATGACGGCCAGTGGCACAAGATACTTGAGGTTGCGTATGAGGAAGGTTAGGATTAGAGGCAGTGTCATGAGGGCAATATAAATGCGCGTGTCGATGGGCGGCAGATAATCGTCGCCCAACTCCTTGAGATTTTTGCCAATAAACACGACGTACACAACATCCACGCCAAAGTGGTAAATGCACAAAAATGCATCCACCTGTCGGCTATGAATCATATAAAGTGATCATCCCAATTTATCTGGGGGGAGCAGCGACTTACGCGAAGTATTTGCTCAGAGGCCTTATCCAAGAGGGTCCATTCAAGATAGCCAAATGCATGGCCTCGCTGTAGCTGAGCATTGCCATTTTATAGCGCTTGCGAGTCAGGTTAATATCGTTGAGCTGGATGGGGCAGGATGGTGTAAGAGCTATAAGGTCACACATGTATTCAGACACTACCAATACATGCATAGCATACAACAGAAGGGAGGAGATTAGAACTGAGCCTGCCAGGCCCAGCAGCCAGCCTGTACTATAGTAGCCTCTGGGCAGAGCCAAAATACCCGTGCCAAGAGTACATTTGATCAAATTTACAAACGCATCCAAGTCCCTATGGATAGATGAACTTTTAGATGATATCCTGGACAGGTAATACAGTTTCTTACGTCAGTTGATGTTTTACCTCGGGTAGAAATTTAGGATTCTTGTAGGGCACGAAGCTGAAGCGTAAAATACAAAACTGAGCTGTCCAACTGTGAATTGTATACAAATACCATCGTATGACTCATCCATACTTACCCTAAGTTCACGTTCAGGAAATGGAAGAGTCTCGGGGTAAATTCAGTGTATCTTTCTGCCTCCTCGTTGACTTGAGAAATCAAACGCCGACGGCCTGGCGAATTCTTTGGTAACATTTTAGCATTTAAATGAAATAGGTCTTTAGGCATTGATCTTTTCGAAAAGACTACATATAGAGTTGTATGTGGTTTTCTGTACGATTTCAGGGCCAACTTTGTTGCCAATTATGTAAATAGCTAAGAGAAGAGAGAACGCAAAGATATGCACCTATTGTGGAATACCGCACAGTTCGCATACCCTTTCTAAAATTTGTAAATGCATAGTGCCACAGATGGAGCAGATATGCAAAGAAGACTAGATGAAAGTGGAAAACAAATATGTAAGCTCAATATCGATATATTTGTTTATTTACTCGAGCTTAGTCAAACCATTGAGCAGTGGGAGGGTGCTTTATAGATTTTATATAGGGTATTCTGTGTTCAATGCAATCAAGACAATTTCCCTTTGAGTTTAACACTTAAATATTAGCATGGCCCAGAGCAGGGATTAATTCCAGGAAATTAAGCGCATCAGCAAGAGGTAGCGAAACAGCGATTGCTGTGTGGGCGTTTGTAGCTTGGTAGAGTGATCTGGCCATAAAAACAGGCCAAGAGCTCGGACTAGCAGGACTTTAGAATTTGTTGGCCGTATGGTGGCTGCTTTTGCTACCTAAATTATGCAGCAGCCGCTGGCTATCGAAGCGGCAAGCCGGCCAGGCAGCGGTGATCCAACTGGGACTGCAGCCACGCCTTGTTCCGTTCGCCAAGCTCTAGGCGGGCTGAAAGACAAACTAATTAGTGTGGCCAGCTCTGTCATTTTGCACGCATTTCTCAAATGGCTAGTGATGATGGCATTGCCCATAAATTGTCCAAGCCACTGCACCACTGCACCACCGCACAGCACCACATCATTTAAGGCCACTCGAAGAAAGTACAGTTTCTAGTTAAATCTGAGTCCCCATTGTGTGCGGCCCATGGAAGGCCGCCCGCTGGGACCACGAGGCTAGATAGTAGTTGTGCGAAAGAACAAGTGTGAGTGCGAGTGTATGAGTGTGTAATACATTTAATATATACAATTGCCCCACCCCCGAGGCCCCCTCAAGCCCACATCCCCTTTGACCAACTCAACCGCCCCTTGGCCGCTTTGTGTTGGCGGAAACGATGTTTTTCCTATGCAAATTCAGCCGGTGCCCCTTTTCGCATTTACCAAGTGTCTTTTGCCGTGTTGTTTATTTGTTTTCGACGAGGCCAAGCCAGGGGTCAACTACGCATTTGATTGCAGTTGCTTTTGCTATTTGTTATTGAGAATTTCCCCCTTCGATGCGCCGGCTATCGTCACACACACAGTGCGTGTCTATGTGTGTGTGTGTGGGAGGTCAGGAATTTAAAATTTGTACACTTCTAACGTATATATGTACGTGTATGTGGTATATATGTGACAAGGAGCAGTTAGTTACAGTATGATTAATATCAGAATGAGATTGAAATAATATATGTTTATACGTATATTTTGTTATTATATTTAAATAAATAGAATTACATTTGTATTAAACTATTAAAACTATTAATGATTTAAATATATTTTTTGTATTTTAATATATATATTGTTTAATCATATATATTAATAAAATTTTTATATTAAATTACATTTAAACCCAAGCATTCGCAACATATAATAATGTTGAAAGGACTAAAATAAATGAATGAAATCTGCTATTATTGTATTAATTATTTAGCTAAGCTACCCGGGACCGCCTTGAAGGCATCTAGGGTATGTGCACGGTAGTCGCAACAAGAAACAGTCGCACTAAGCAGACATTTAAATATGCGCATTGGCAATTGCATTGCAGGCGTACCACGCTGCGTATGCATTTTCAGTGAAATTAACATACTAATGACACTTTGAGGCTGGCCAAGGGTGGTTCCCGCTGCCCATTGATGATGTTTGGGCTGCCCATGCGACTCGGTCCGCTGGAGTCCCGGTCCGTGACAACCGTGAGCGGACATCAGCTGGTGCAGCAAGTGGGTCAGCCAGCGACTGCCAGTCGAACTTCGCATGTGGTTCAATAATTCCAACAGTAAATGCTAAACTATGCGCATAGATTGTCAACGCGCCAAGATGCTTAGCTGATTGCTGCCGTCGAGGCGAGGATTGGAGTCTGTGACTGTAGCTACAGCTGAAGCTGAAGCTGAAGCTGAATCTGTGACTGCGGATGCGGCTGGGGCTGGGGCTGGGGTTGGGGCTGGGGCTGGACGTGGTGTGTCATTAAAGTGCAGACAAATGGCAACGGCATGTGCGGCACATGTCAAACTGCAGGCAGCAGCAAACGGCAACAGGTGAAAATGTTGGAATTCTGATTATCTGCTGGCTGTTCGGCTGGCTGGCTGCTGCCAATCACTACAAGCAACTGTTGCCGTGAGTCTCGCTAAGCAGCAACTTAAACTGTAACTTTCGACGATTTGTCGCTCAGCCATCGTCGTTGGTTTCTTGACTTGTTGGCAATTCGCTTTTCGTTTGCTTCAAGCTTGATACTTTGATGTTTGGCTACCAAACGATCAAAAGTCTCCAGCAGCAACAACAACTACAGCAGCAGCAGCAGCAGCAGCAGCAGCAGCAGCAGAAGCAGAATAATTATGTGTGTATTTCGCTGCTGCGATTGCCCGCCAGCAACATGGGTGCTACATTCCATTTGGTCTGTTGCCCATTCGTTGCCCGTTTGCCGCTTGTGTGCACCACATGCCACGCCCACATTCAATTTAGAGCCGGAAGTGTGGGTGTGCACGCATGTTGATGTACCCACTGCTGTAGCCAGGATTTTAATTTTTCTTTATTACTGCTTTTGGCTTTCGTATGCTGTTTCTCTGGCAAACTCGAACTCATTTGGTCGTGCATAAATCAAAAATTGTAGCAGCATTTCTTAACCGGCAAGTCAGCAATAGCAACAGCAATTCCCGGCAGCAACTCCCGCATAAAAAAGTATGAAAAACGCATATAATGATTGGCTCCAGAGCACCAACAACAACAGCAACAACAACAACGGCAATACATGAGCAACATCAGCAAGAACAGCAGCATAATAGCCAATTGCCTGGGCCACGTAGCAGCAGCAGCAGCAAAAAGTGGGAGGATGCAGTGAATTTTCTCCCTCGGCAAAACTTATTTTTTAGCGTTGGCTGCCGTTTACTTTGTTGCTTGTGCTTTAAATTGTTGTTGCTGTTGTTGTTGTTGTGCCTGTCGCTGTCGGGCCGTTTGCCTTTTTGGGGCCATCAGGTCTTCGCCTAAGCGGCAGGTTCCTGTCTGTGTCGTCTGGAGCCCAGCTTCTGAGACGTTGACTGCATTTTTAAGCGCGCTGCGCATAAAATAAAAGCAGATTGCAGCCACAGCACTGCCTCGGGCATAGAGCGCGCGTCGTTTCTTCAATGAATCGAGTAAAAGTGCAGGATGCCCTGTTGTCCTGCCCATCGGAACAGCTTCTGCAGATACGGCAGCAGCAGCTAATTTCAAGATCGGAGCAAAAAAACCAACCCAAACCTTGAGCTCGGCTCAGCTCAAAGCCCTAAGAGTCCGCATCGGGTTGTCTGCTGCTGCTGCTGTTGTTGCAATTGCTGTTGCGCTGATCTTGTGCGATAATGATGCAAGTTAATCATTAGCTTGGAACGTGTATTATGCGATTATTAGCTTGGCCCGGCAAGGATTATTGTTCTACTAACGACGCCCCGCTACCTACTCGCTGCCATTTGGTGGGCGTTTTATTCCGCGAATTTTTAAGTAATTTTCAATTTCCGTTCGCCATATTGCTGCGTTTCCTTTGCGTAATGCGATGCTCTTCGAGTCCGCGGAGCACATGTAACAATTTGTCAACTCTGCCTCGGCTGCGCTGCGGACAACGTAGGCAAATCGACGCTCGCGAGCGATTGAGCATGCGGCAACATGTTGCTGCAACATGTAAGATGTCAGCGTTTTTTAAGAATCAATTGCCGCCCAACAGCAGCAGCAGCAGCAGCAGCTACAACAACAGCAAAAGTCGCAATTCGATATTGTCGTTGTGGCTTTGGCGTTGGTGTTGCAGTTGCTTCCATTGTTGTTGTTGTTGTTGTTGCCATTGCTGTTGCTGTTGTTAGTGGTGTTGCTGGTCGTACTGGCCGCTTTCTGGCTGCCGTCTGTCAGCAACATGCTGCCGCCGCCTCTCCCCCGACTAAGTTATGGCCACACACATCGCACTGGCGGCCTTGAAAAGCAATCCGAGCAGCGAAGAGTACTTTGAAAAAATCATTGCAGAATTTAAATAAGCAGGCAAGTAAAGCTACAAAAGAGCTAAGAAAAACGCATACAGCGCATACACATTTTGCGAGCTTTGCAATTGACGTGCAACATGATTTTGTAGGCGTGCAACATGCGCATGTGCAACAGCCGCAACTTTATCAGATTGCCGCAGTTCCAAAAGCTGACGCTGCCTCAGTTCATTTTCTTCTTTTTATTTGAGTCTCTTTGCTTGTTTTTGCTTTTGGTTTTTGTAGGTTTTCGGCATGTTGACTGTCAATTGTTTGGTGGGCGTCGCTGCAGCAGCGGCAGCAACTGCAGTAACAATATGGCCAATAGTTGGGCCTTCGCCCCAGAGCTATATCAATGTCAACAGAATTATCACACAGCGCTGTCAATATATGCAAGTACACACACAGTGAACACAATAACAACAACAACAGCAGCAACAACAACAACTGCATGCAAAGCAATCAAGTGACAATCACTTGCCAGCTAAGGAGTTGGGCAGTAGCAACAACGACAACAACAACAACGACTACGACTTTAACAACAAC